TTTGGTGTAACGAGAATGGGTATCCATTTTTATATATCCCCAGAGCTGAGGAATTTGAGTGCATTTGGTGTAACGAGAATGGGTATCCATTTTTGTATATCCTCAGAGCTGAGGAATTTGAGTGCATTTGGTTTTATTTCAATATTGGGGAATTGAGGAGAATTTTTGTCGAGTTGGTATTGAATGGATTTTTCGAAGTGGATTGTGAACCTGGCTAATTCATTGGAATTTTTTTGAAATTTTTGTATTGATAGGATTAGTTATATGAAATGCATCGAAGATCAAATTGCTTTACGAATGCAATGTAATGTAAACTGCCATCTGTCGAGTGGTATTTGATTTTAGCAGTTTGAAGGCTTTTGCGGAAATTTGTAGTCTGTAGAATTTTATTCCGTCACATATGATTCAAATATATTCTTAAAAGTTTTTTCTTCTAATAAATTTTTTTAAGGGCTTTTACGGTTACGGACTAGTACTTATGGGCCATTATCTGAGGTGTTTGTTAGATAGCATTGTCACCACTCTCCGTCTGTAATGGCAATATATTCATTTTTTTGCTTGCTTTGTTTTATAATGGACCCTTGTTGTCCGTATATTCTATTAGTCGGTGTATATATACCAAATTTTAATCTAAATAGATCATTTGGTTGTAAAATACAACATCGGATATTCTATGGTAGTATTTAGAATGTTGCGTTCCTATTGTGATAGATATTTGATGTGATTTTCTGTATCTTATGACTTCTAAATTACTGTTGATTCTTGTTAACCATGTTACCAGTAGTATGTATGTTTTATTTTACCTGTTACATGTATTGATAATATTATTTAAGATTCTAATGTAACTAGTAGATTTTCAATATCTGTGTATAGTACCTGTTGCTTATATGCTTTGTTTTCCACATGCGAGAATATATCTACAACATAAAGCACCTGTTGAATAATTATTTATTGAAGAAAAGGACTTATTTAATAAATTGTGCTTAGATATCTTCAATGAAATGTTCTTTGGAATCGATTTGTCTAGTATCCCTCATCATTTACTCTTTATAGATTTACTTTTAGCTACTTGTAATTTTATTGATTTCTATTATGTCTAAACGAACGGAATGGATAAAGGAATTAAATGAACTTGATTGTCTCAACGTGGAATTTTGTGAGGCATTAACAGCATCTTATAACTTAAGTGATTTTTTTCCTGATCAACCTTATTTGGTAAAGATCTTTGAAAACTATCGAAGTAAAAAACTAAATGATTTAACGCTATTCTGGTGCGTGTTAATTTCATTTATGCATTGGTAAATTCTTATTCTAAAAACATCCTAGATAGTTTTTGCTTTTATAGGTCTTCTGAATCAAAATTATATGACAAAGATAAAATGGAATATACTAATTTAAAGTTGTATGGTATTTTACGTGGAAATTCAGGTATATGTTTTTAATTTTCTATTGAATAAGTATATTATTGTTTTCTGCATAGTATCTCATAAATCCGGTTATATAAAACCTGTTAGAGAAGCTTTTGATTTTGTTGAACGTTATTATAGAGAACAATTTATTGATAATAATAACAAATTTTCTACTACATGCATGGAAAGTTTAACTACTGCTAAACTAATTTCCGAATTAGAAATGTCGTCGGTACGATTATACTGCTGTTACTTTCGAATTGAAAAATGCTTAATTTTGCTTTAGAAATTCATCTCATCTGATGAAGATCGTCCGTTGACAGACTTCGCTTTTTTTGAACCAAATTCAATAAAAGCGAAAGAAATACATCCTAACTTAATATGTGGTTTCAATGGAGTATATAAGTTGCAGCGATCAACAGTGAGACAAAACAATAATATTCACGATCGAAGCCTAACCGTCTTAATACCAACTACTGGGGATCGTTGGCCACAATTATTGGAGCATTTCTACGATGCACATCAGACGAATGGTAAGTAAAATTCTTTTTAAAATATAGTATTTTTTTAAATATTTTGATTGGTTATTAGGTTTATATGAAAGATTTCTATATTGGGTCATTAGTAAGAAGAACTTTGTTGAAGAAAAGCATGATATGAAAAACAACTTACCATCACTCGAGTATCTATTTATTACCCGTATGGAAATCGGTCACCGCATATATATTTATGATGAAGATACATCAGCTTATCTAAAACCAATCTTATCGGCGATGCGAAGCAATCACAGTTGTGATGAAATTTCAACAACTATTCCATCTAATAAACGAGCAGGTCATTATTTTATTTTTATGTTATCAAAAAAAAATCTTTTTTTTAGAGGCATGTCAACGGCGTAGCGCTGATTTAATCGAACGCATTGCGGTTATTTTTCAGAATCTTTTTGATACAGTAATGGTTTTGCAAGACATTGATTCAATCGATTTTCATCGTATTCAAAAGCATACTTTTGAAAAAATTAAGGCCAATGTTGATCGTAATTTCTATCAACAAAAAGATAATAGGTAAGTATAAAACTAATAGAGAAGAACATGAAACTTAAAACAAATGTTCATCTGCGATTTTATTTTTGCTTTGTTAATATCTCATATGCCTTTTAAATATCAAAAAAGAATAAGTATGTATATAAATCATTCATCTACTTTTTATTCTATGAATGTTAGCAGTAAATCTATCGACTCTCCTTTTGTTACCGGAGTGTGTTCGAATAAAAAATAATGCTGGTAAAAGGAGTCATTTTACAATGCATAGATCAACGTTTTGAAAAAAGGTTTCCGTAGTATCTATTTTTTCCTACAGAGTAACTGTGAAATTACATAAGTAGAAAACAGAGAACTTATTTTTCAATGCCCTTAGGATAATTATATGTATATATATGTATATTTGAAATGGTTATTCATTATTAGTGATATTCATACAGAAAGTGGCTTATATCCTGATCATATTGACTTGAAAGACTTACCTGAAGTTCAAATAAAAAGTGTATTGAAATCACCATTATCTTCGATGAAAGTTACATTGTCAGCAGCCAAAGCAGCTGTTTATTTTTTTGATAAACTTTTATTACCACAGTCAATAAAATTATTTAACACTGATACAAATGTAGCTAAAAATAATACCATTAACGAATTAAAAATAATTGAACATCATGTCAATTGCTTCTCGATTAGTGATCTTACTCATAGTGGTGTATTTCATAGTAATTAATTTGATCAGTTTATCAATTACCAATATCTCATTGTTTTTATACTTTTAGATCATAAAAGAAATAAGATTGATGTAAAGGAAGTCTTATCGAATTTGGAAAAGAAATCGTTCATTAAGAGAGGCAAATATATTAAAGCTGGATCACGAGCAATTGAAAGTTGGATTAAGCAATTGCCTGATCCATCCAATGATGAACAAATCTTATGTTTTCAAAATGAATTGCATTACAACTACGAAATAACACTGAAACAATATTTAGATACATATACTAAAAGCATTGATTGCAACAGTACAACGTTGTGTCAAAGTGGCAAAGAACTTTTAGAAACACAAAGATTATGGATTAGTCTATTGAAAGAAAAACTAAATGGGTTTGATTTCGATTTAACCTTTTCAAGTAAGTATTTTGGTTGAAACCAGTTCGACTTTGTTTTGAGAACATTGAGACTGTAAAATACAGGTGAATGAAGCTTTGCATCGGTATTGAAATTCTCTATTATGAACCAGTGTTTGCACGATTAAAACAGCTATGATGATTTAAGAACTTATCGCGTAATGAATACAGGAATACAATATTTGATAAAAAATCTATTCAATCACAGCCATTATAAACAGATCAAGTTCTTAAAATGAATATATTATTTTTATTAACATAAAGAATTTGCTTAAAGATTTAACCATAAACTGCGCAGAAAAATTAGATCATATGAATACTGATTCGTCACAATTCTCTACACAAAGCCTAATCGTTAATTCATTTTTATGTGTATTATTATTGCCTTTGTAAACGTGCGGTTTTTAATCTAATGAAACTGGTATATTTGCTCTACAGAGAACGATTATCTTGTCGCAATTTGTATATTTATTATCATTAGTAGCCAGTAATGCAGAATTCGAATTTTTAATGAAGATTGATAGACCGAATAAACAATAGATCTCTACTCATGCCTATCAATTACAGAATGTATCAATATAGCATTGTAATATTTTTTTCTCTCCGTTAAGATATAACTAATCGTTGTTCTACAACAAACGTGATGATTAAAGATAGTTTATTAGCGAAAGAAAGTAAGTCAATTTGTTATATCATTCGTTTGACTTCATTCTTGTTAGATGATTTATATGATATTCTGGATTGTATCAATTACAATCCATATGACTTACCAGTATTATCTTTCGATCAACTTGATACTATTGGCAAAATTCAGCAGAATGATGTTGTGATCGAAAGTACTGAACGACAACAATCTTTGATTTCTAACAAATTTGATGATCGTGAGATATTACATACAATTTTTTTATGATAATTTTAGTTTGTATTTAGAATACTCAAGCTCATCTCGAGGATTGTACAGCGATCAAATACAAAACGATATTGTGATTCATGATATTTTGTCTGATATAATCACACAAGTAGCAAATTCTTTGAATTCCATTACAGCGACAAATGTTACTTTAGTAACAAAACAACAAATTGGTAATTTTTAAAACATTTGCATATTCATTATTAACATATTGTTCTAGTTCCGATTCACAATGAAAATAAAATTAGCATTGTAAGAAATCCACTTGTGTCCGAGGGCATGAAACTTTTGTGTAAAAAGATTTTACTGGTTGAAAGTGTTATTCTGTCAAACACTAAATTGAATAGAACGTGTAAAACAAACATGATTGATGTTCATAAAGCATGCCAAATCTTGATTGATCATGGCTTATTAACCATTGAAGATAAAATGCTTGCAAACAAATCCAGCTACTGCGATGCTTATCTCAAGCAAGTTCCACAATCTGTTGCAGATATGATTGAATTTACATTATTATTAGCCCAATTCGGAATATATAATTTGGATACCTACTATTCAACTTTAAAAACTGGTAAGCTGTATTTGATTGACATCGATCATTTATGTCATACAATAGATCATTCGTATAGTATTTATTAATTCGTTTCATTTTACTTTGAGCTAAATGATATGCTTATCGATGCGTAACTCTTCATTTAATTTTCAAGTATTTGAAATATTATTTTCATATCATGAAAAACATTCGTCCTATGTTTTATCTATTATAGAATTTTCTTACTGATTTCAAGAAAAATAGTTTGATAAAAAAAGAATTGCTTTTGATGTTAAACATTAATCAAATATCTGTATTATCAGGTGTAGGCAACCATACTAATTATAGAAGATCTTCTTTAATGCATATGTGTAGAATACATTGGCAACGAAAACAATTTTGTGTAAAATTTGTAGAAAAATATTGGACTATTCTAGACAATCTAAATTAGTTTCATATGATCATATTTACAAATATTTTTGAATATAAACAGAAATTGACTTAATCTTCGTTTTACTAAAACGAATGGACTTCGAGTAATTCGATGATGCCAATATAGTATGATATTAGGAAATAAAGATTCCAAAACTTTAATCTTTTTCGAATTATATGTTTTATACGTTTTTTGATCTATAAAAATATATGTAACTTTTCTTTCGAAGATTAAATTGTTTATTCATACTAATTAGAACAAATCCTTTCCCTCGTGTGGTAGAAACAATCAAAAATCACTATTATAAGTACTAGAGCAATATTGCACCATAAATGAAACATCATCTTAAATTAGAACGATTTGTTTGCGATAAAAATATCATTTTATTCTCAATTATAAGACTTTTCTTAAGCGAATAAATTTTCTTTTGATGATTTTTATTATAAGAGACTTTTCTTATCAATAGGAGAAAATTATCAGCCATAATCTAATATTGTTCAAACATCAAGTTTTTTTATAACTCAAATGACTATAAACGTTCAAGCATGAGTAATGTTCAAATATGAACGAGCTAGCAATCTATGTACAACATTATACATCAATATAAATGTTTAACATATTTTAGTTGATACACGAAACAATACATATGTTACTTCATATGGTCTATCAATTTTTAAAGCCAAGCCATATGCTAATCTCGAAATTATCGTTAATGAAAACGAAATTATTGATCCCTCAACATCAAATCATCGTAAATTATTTAGCGCTTCAACAGAAATAACTCAACTCGACGACGAAAAGTGTAAGTTCACAATTTTATTTTCAAGCTCATGTTATTAATCAAAGTTATATTTAGCATCGTCCATGGAGTGTAATGAAACAATGGATTCTGAACAACCAGAATTGACAAATTCCAATAGAAAATCTAAGAGATGGCGTAACCTTACCAATGCAGGGAAAGAATACCAAGCACAACGATCAAAATTGAAGAAAAAAAAGAACGTTTTACCATGATGACAGTAGAAATGAACTTTCTTTCAAAACGTTTGAAACAATATTTGATTGAACATATGAAATGTATTTTATGAAAATTAGTTGGACGAAATTTAGATGTACGTTGTTGTGATTAATTCGGTCGTTTTCATGTGGAGCACATGAAACGAAAGTTTCATGTTTACTTTTTTTTCTTATGTGTATTTGCGATAGAAACAGATCACTTTTTATTTAAGATTGTACGGCTTTGCTTTTATCTGTTTGTTGATATTTATGTCTTTTTCTGAAATATATATATTATTCAACAATGAAAGAGAATTTCGAATTGACTTTCATTTTATTAGATCAGCAGAATAAAAATAGAAGTTAAAACCAAAACGGTTATTTATTGAAAATTGATAAGAATACACATAATTGAATCAAAGATACGAATAATCACATTTATGCTTTATTTTTTTCCGATGTTTTCCAATGTTTACAACAGCAATTCCGATGAAAATGAAATATTTATTGTATCCTTGAATAGGAATATTCCAATTCAACACTTGAATCTTGTGAATCAGCTAGATGTTGAACTTGATGATTGCATATTATCAAAATATATTGATATATCGAATATGATTGATATGGTATTTGGCAAAACATATGATCCTAGTTTTATAGAATGTATCTTAAACTTGTTGAAATCCAAGCAAATTGCGTTTCCTCTCTTTTCACAAGTGGATGCAAAAGTTCTTATTAACAATTATTCAAATAATCATCATGTTCTTACATTATCATCTTTACATACTATTAAACCATTTACTTCAGTTTGTTTAAATTGTGGCAAATCATTAAAGCTTCAGTTTAAAGAAAAAGTCAATGTTTTTTTGATTGATCGTGTAGAAAACGGAACAATTTACATTGCTAACTGTTGTCAAATAGACTATTTTCCAAATAGTTTTCTTAAAATGTCGAAGCGATTTGTTGTTCCAGGCTCGATACAAAATAAAAAATATATTCATTTTGGTGGAAAATCTGTTCTAACTATTGAGATAGTATTACGATACGCTGCTGATTTAGTAAACTTGGTAAGAAAAAAGATAGCATAATTAAACTGAGAATTGTAACGAAAGAGATCTGGGTTTCTTATGATCCATTCTATCATACGAATGGAAAAATCTTTTCAATCAAATCTTTTTAGTATTCAGGTTTTGAAAATTTTGCTGAGGGATACAACGACACCATGCTCTCATTATTGTTATCTCGTTCAAATATGCAATCTAATCAAGTAACAAATCCACCACTATTAGAACGTCGATTGTTCGAGAATATTTGGATGATATATTCTTCCACATTAATAACAATTTTCTTGTCAAAAACACAAGAAATACAAATTCCATTAAACATGAGTGATAGACACCAAATGAACACTTACTTTAATGAAACGTTGCCAATATGGGAACACCAATTTATTTTATTCTGGTCAAATCATTCTGTTCGAAACAGCTGTGGTGATAATTGTTCAGGTGCAATTGTCATTGACGGCTTTCAAAAACCAGATCGATTTGTTTGTCAATTCACTGATGTTATTCATTCAAATGAACTAGGTAAAAACAAATTTAAACTATTTGAAAACGTTAACATTTTTCTGATTAGGTGATATAGATTGGGGATGTGGGTTTCGTCCAGAGATGATACAAGACAAAAAAAATCCTGGATTTTGGAAAAACACCAATTTTTGTCCGAAACACGTTCATCTAAATAATGACCAATCAACTGAAGATATTAACAACAGCAATGATTATGATAATATCGACTGCAACGTTTCAAGGTAACATTTAACTTGACATTTATATATGTATGTTACATAATTTCTTCTAGGAATGATCGTTATGCAAGTCGAAAAACATCGTACGGTATAATATTGACAATATACAATTGTGGAATAATCGTGAATTTTGATGAATTATACCGATCGGAATCACCGATGCGTGTAATTCATCATTTACTAAATACGATCGAGCATCTATCACCAGCAGCGTAAGTCAAACTTTTCCGGAGAAATGCATGATACGAACGAATTTCATTAATTTATTTTCTAGTAAAGTACCGAAATAGGTGACAATCACCTATTATGTCAACATATTTACTAGATTTTAGAATCTCATTTCCCACCCTATATGTCATCTCTTTTCTCATTGTAGGCATCTGAAGAATTAGTTGCTTTCTGTTTGCCTGTGAAGGACTAACTGCTTTATTATCATCTTTTCAATAGAGAACAACCAGGAACTAGAACACCTCACCAGCGTTTCTAATAGGAATCTAAAACAAAAAGTCAAATGACGTTTTACTTTTGCCATTACAGTGTAAAGTGACATTTTGTTTTTTAAACAAAGTGTCACAAAGTTTCCAAGGTATAAATGATTAAAATTACATTAAAAGAGAGAATCCTATGAATAAATTTTGTACATAGTATCTGGTTGCTTTCCCATTCGGGAAGATAATTGCGGNCGGTGAAATGCATGATACGAACGAATTTCATTAATTTATTTTCTAGTAAAGTACCGAAATACTTGATATACGATAATGCATGTGGCCTGATTCTCACACTACGGAATCGATTAGAACGTGGCAAAATAACAAAATCGCAAAGGACAGATGCATTGTAAGAACCAGCAACAAATATATTTCTTGCATCTAAATCAAATACTTTAGATCTAACTTCACTTTCGTCGTTGATAAATTTCACATAGGCAACCATAAACGTGCCATGTGTTCTACTCAAACCAACCCCTACACCTACGAAGAACTCAAAAACATCAATACAGTCGTTTGTGAACAAACTAATTCCAAGCTAAAGAAATACCAAAACGCATTTTCTTCATTCTCCCTTCCTAAAAGCAAGGTGTTCTATTATATTTTATTTAACCTGTTAAACTGTAAAAAAACAAAAACTTCCATATACACATCCTAGAGGTAACTGCATATATTTTCCAGGTCAATAAAAAACAAGTCCTATTCATTAAAAAAAAGTTTCGAACATACCACAGACAAACATTCACATCAACCTGGTTTTAGTTTTTGTTCCTATACACATTGCTACTTTTCCGACATCTGAATACAAAGAAAAGCTATTGAAACACAAACATTCTAACCGACCAACTCTTAAATAGTTTGGCTAAAACGCAGAACACCACAACATGATTTCGAAATGTTTGATTTGACACAATTCAATATGATCGATTTCAATGTACTGACAAGTACCATATGGACATAAAAATATATTTCTTCTAATAGTCATTGTACAATTGAGATATCCCAAAAGAAATGAAAATCATTAGTAAAACAATAACACCTACGAATCATTCACTAGATTGAATTCTGTGAAAAAGGCGCAGATAACTTCGTTTTAATTCATCGACAGACGATATAATAGTATCTATTGAAGAATAAAGATAGATGTCGACCACCCATTGAGATGTATTCAGAACAATCAGAAATCTAAATATCGGAATATGCCTTAAAAGATGAACGTAATTAAAATTAAAAACAGTTACACATACGAATCATTCAATAGATTGAATTCTGTGAAAAAAAGTGCAGATAATTTCGAATTTCGAATTAATTCATTTATAAACGATTCGATAACTTGTATTAAAGCAAGAAGATTGATGTCGACTATCGATTCGAATTTCGTTCATGCTGAGAATGGAGACGCTGTTTAAAATAAATCTGAGCAGAAGAATATAATCAGAAAAACTTTTAACTATCAAACACATTCATGTATCAAGTTAGATTTTCAACTAAATTTTTCTAACGGTGAAATAGTTGTGTTAAAATAAGTGAATATGGTCTTTTGAAGTTTATGTGTTGCAATTAAACGATTAACGAGTTAACGATACTATAGGTTCTTCATAATTTCATGCTCAATGCTCTATTATGGGAATATGTTGTGTTTTGAAAAATATTTTCGGATATTTGTTGATGGCTTATATTGATTAATATTTTGTTCGTCATCCACCGTGGATTGCTACACAACTCGGTAGCGTATTTGTATGTGAATAGCCAGAGATGTCTTTTATTGATAGTGTTTCCACACAGGTGCACTTATCTTCACATCCTTTTTACCGCTTCCGTCGAATTCAATAAGTTTAGTTCAAAAATCAAACTAGGATACTACTACCATTTTCAAAAAACTTCTCGAGAACGAATCACGAATTTTCCTACTGACAGGTCCTACTGCAAACAAAATAATATAAGGCACAATTCACATAACATACATGTGACAATCCACAATAACACCAACCACACAGCATGCTACAGTTTCAACACGACTTCAACGAGTCATTGTGATCAAAGTTGTAATAAATTGTGACCCGGTGAAAATCAAGTTGTTCAACGAACACTTACCTGCAATTGCACGCCATCTACAAAACTCATTAAACAAATCTGAACACATCCATAAACATTGGCATAAAGCTGACTACATGAATACAATAAATTTCAACATAGCATCACTTTTCCTTATTTATAATTATGAAGACACGCATTCTTACAATAGGGTATCCATTTCCGATACCCATCTCGTTACACCAAATGCACTCAAATTCCTCAGCTCTGAGGATACATAGATATACATCCAACTGGGTATCCTATTTGGGTATTCATCTCGATACCCAAGTTGTGGATATTATGACATCCCTCGAGTCGAGCGTTGGATCCATCACAATCCGACAGTAGGATCCGATGATTATCCAATGTTATTCCGACGCTAGAGATCCGATTGTCATTGCCACTAGCT